GTGTCTATACAGTAGCTGGGAGGTGTAATTCCCAGCTGGGGTGGACATACAGCTGCTAGCTCTGCTTGAGCAAACACCTAAATATAGTAGTGTGGCTGCGGCGCCGGGGGCCAGCCACCCAAGTACGTACCCTGGGGTGGGTAGGGATTGTACTCAGGCAGGTAGTTTGAGCAGCCACTGCTATTTTTAGATGCTGGCTTGAGCAGTGCCAGTGCATGTATGTCTACCTGAGCTGGGAATTACACCTCCCAGCTGCTGTGTAGACATGCCCTGAGAGTAAGGAACTCCTGAGTGATAGTGTTGGCTGTGCCGATGACTTTCTGGGCAATTCCTATAACTCCTGTGTGTGTTTCCCTATCTCTAAAAAAGAAACAATACTTTCCTGCCTTGCAGTGTTTTGTGTGGGTTAGTTAATGTTTGTAAAGTGCTTTGATAAGGTGAAGCGTTATGAGTGTGGATCATTACTATCATGCTGGGTTTGAATATGTCAGTCTCGCTCCAGATTCTGCTTCATTGGTCTGTCTACGAGCTGGAATTTCCTTCTTCCCACTGTGTTCTTGGATTGAGGGTTGGCTACCCTTGCAGAGCAGCATGGGGAGGCCATTTTTCATCAGTACTAGCTTTAGGGAGTGCAAGAATGTGAATTATGCTTCATGTGCTGCTTGGAGTGCCCTGTTAGCTCTGCCTCACGCAGCTGGCTCTAGTGTTCTCTCCAGCAATAGGACCTGGGGAAGTGGCAACTCTGCTCGTTTCCCCACTTCAGCATTTTGGAGCACTGCCTGCACTGGGCCCCCTACAACCTGGGGACGTGGATTAACCAATGCAATGATAACGAACACCTGTCAGTGCGCAATATCTGGTGCCTATACATTAGCTCTCCTGACAATTCTCCTCCTACCTCTGGGGTTTGTTTCGTAGACTATCCTCGGGGAAACACAAGAAGAAGATGACGAGATTCTTCCACGCAAGGACTATGAGGTGAGAAACTAAATAGTTGTAGCTTGTGAAATGTGTGGAAAGAGGTGGGGGCGATTGGGTCTCATTCCTTTTGTAGTGGCACAAGCACCAAAGCACCATCACAGCTGGCACTCCTTGGCATCTTTGGTATCAGCAGAGATGCCAAGGACTGGGTGGGTAATGGAGTACTGCCTCTCACTACTACACATGGTTTTGCTAGGCCAGGGTTCAGGTGTGATGGTTTGAGGGAAGCCTGTACAGCTGCCATCTAGGTGGGAACCATTCTGAGGTCAGGGTCCCAGGGCCACCACGCTGTCCCCCTTTCAGCAACGTTGTATTCACTTGAGCCTGTAGTTCAGTTTCCTATTGTTTATTTCCTAGTAGCTGTAGGGTGCATATATTGAAAGTTGGCTATAGCTGCCTTGTTGAAATGTCTGGGAGCATCCTGGCCAGGAGCAGCCCCTTCCTCTCATCAGGTTCTGATTCCTAGGGGAGGCTTTCTTAGTGGGGGGAAGGGTGCAGGCATGGTAGGTGTTGCTGTCACTGGGTTGACACCAGGGCATCCTATCACCATTTGGCTTGTAAAGGTGAAGATGCTGCAAACAGACATCTGAGACTAGCTGTGCTTTGCAGGTGCAGGACTCCAGCCATGATACTGCTCTGTGTTGCTTTGTATCTCCTATAGTATATAGTTAAGACCCTGTGCATTGTATCCTGCACGTCATGGGCCTGTCATCTGCTCTGGAATCTCTCCAGTTGCCTGGAGAGGGATTTCTCAGCTGGTGACCTTTGTCTCAAGTAGTTCATATTTCTGGGGGAGTTGAGGAGTGGGAGAGACGATGGGCCCTGTAGAACCCTTCATATAATACGTAGCTTTTAGGGGGAGAAGGATTAGGCATATCATTTTGATGCAGTCCATGTGAAATTGGATACTCTGTCAAGCTAAAAATCCTGTTTAAATCATGTGTGTTACAATTACTTCAGATTAAAACCGGATTGAAAATTTCAGTTGCTTTCCATCTCCTATGCTTGGTTGGTTTTGTATTTCACACAGTTTGGGCAATAAACTAGAAGGGGTTTGGTTCCCTTCCTGGTTCGCATGTGCTAATAATGCTGTAGGGTTTGGGTTTCCAGCCCTACAGGGGTCATGTTTCAATCTCTCAAAACCTCTGTTTTCAATGAAATTGCTCCCAAACACTTCTATTCTTAGTGGGGCAAGGGCCTCAACTACTGCAGTGACCCCTAACATGCTTCCCCATCCCCTGCCGTGAGCCTCAGAGTTCTAGATAAGCCTCAGCATGATCAGTTTCAGCTGATTATCTCCCGTTAACTCTGTGGTGTTCTTTGCCAGAGCTTGGATTATGACCGATGTATCAATGACCCCTACTTGGAAGTACTGGAAAGCATGGACAACAAGGTAGGAACCTATTCTCTCTCTCTCTCCCCCGTTTTATTGGTTTAAGAGAGCCAAATCCATAAAAATATCCTCCACGGCAGTCAGTTTTGGCTGACCCCTATTCACATGGGAGAAGTATTGTTTACCCTTGTGCTCTGCTCAGCTTCTCTGTCAAAAGGGCAGAGATAGGCACGGAGCTCCCACAGCACCCAGGACCTTCCCTGAGCCTCAGGTTTAACGTGATATATTTATCGTTCAAACTCCCTCTCCCCAGTCCTCTGATGCTCCTCGGGATACTTGTCTGTGCCCACCGTTTTATCTCTCCAGTTCTGTCCCCGCTGGTGACTGCGATATCACATTTCTCTGGTCCCCATTTGTGTGCTCTTTGACTTGCTTATATTACCTTGCCCTAAACAGAAAGGCCGGAGGTATGAAGCGGTGAAGTGGGTGATGGTTTTCGCCATTGGAGTCTGCACTGGACTGGTAAGGAGCCTATTGGGTGGGAAGCAGGGAAGTTATTAGAACCAAAGACGCACTAGGAGAGTGCCTTGTGCTTCATTAAGAAGATTGCTTTGTCTATGGCTGGTGCTGGGCCTTTCTGAACATCACAAGGGAATGCATCTGAATTATTTTCTTTCTAAAGGGCACGTTTTTTTCCTGTAAGTCATCTTGGTGTGTTTTCCTTACAAGGTTTACCTTGCAGATCCCCGAAGGCTAATATTCTGCTTGCAGTGAAACCTGCCTTAAGAAACCACTTAATGGAATGATCAAATAGGAGTGAATTCTATCCTCAGACGTACTAAGTGCTAGCTTCACTGTGTACAGTAACTCCTCGCTTAACGTTGTAGTTATGTTCCTGAAAAATGCAACTTTAACTGAAACTATGTTAAGCGAATCCAATTTCCCCATAAGAATTAATGTAA